CCCCCGACCCCACCTGGATGTCGGCCTCGGGTATGGACAGCAGCAGCACCACCAGCCGAAACTCCTGGAAGCTGATCACGCCGTCCCCGTCGTCGTCCAGCACGCGGAATGTGCTGCCGCGGGGCTCCCGCTCCATGCTGCCCTGCACCACCTGCCCGCGCTCGCCTGCGGGCGCGCCGCGGGGCGCGGGGTTGCGCGCGCTGGGGCCCCTGCAGGAGTACCCATTGCTGGCCCGGCAGCAGAGGCCAGCCGGGCCTGGCGGGCAAGGTCAAACCGCAGCCAGGGGGCCGTCGCGCCTCTCCCCTGCTGGCTCCCAGGTCACCCGCCTGCCACCGCGTCGCCGCCCACCGTCCAAGAAGCCCGCGCGCTCCGCGGCGCCGTCGCTGGCCGGGTAGGTGGGCACCACCGCGCGCACGACGTCCCGCACGTCCATCGCCTTGGCGCCGGCCGCGTCGGTCTGGGGGCCGGCGGGCGCGCGGGGCCGCGGGAGGAGCGCGTTCTCGTCAGCTGAGGGCGGAGGTGACGGGGCGGCAGTCACGCCGGCAGGAAGCAGAGGGGGGTCCAACAGTAACCCAAGTCACCGCTCGGCTGACTGAACTGCCAGCAGGTGCCACTCGGCCGGCCCGCATCTGCGCGAGGCAGCTGCACGCGTGCCACTCCCTGATATATTGGCCCGAGATGCTGCCTTGGCAGCTGCCCGAGCAGCTCCCAGCCGCACCTGAGTGGCAAAATACTCGTAAGTCTTCTCGAGCGACGACATGTCGCGGATGCGTTTCTCATACCTAAGGCGTGCGTTGGGCGGGGCGGTGTGGCGAGGGGTGCGCAGCAGCGGGCGAGCTGGACGGCAGCGCCAGCTTGCGGGACCAGCCCCACGGCTGCGTCCCCGCGCAAAGGCACGGGGACGCATGACACGACGGGCACAGCCGCGCACACCCTAAAGAGTGCTGGGCCCCTGGGGCGTAGGAAAGGTCGACGCACGCAGCTTCGCGTTTGCGCCCTCGTCCCACATGCACCGCCACGCCTCAGCTCACTTAAAGAATATACGCCGCCGCGTGTCGAGGCTGAGCACCTTCCAGTTGCTGGCCTCCACGCCATCAGAGGTGGGGGGCAGGGGCTCGGCCTTTTTCGCCAGCGCCGCCGCAGGCGCGAGCGCCGCCGCGGCGAGCGCCGCGAAAGCCGCAGCCGCGGCAGTGCCCCACCAACCAGCTTCCCGCTCATCGCCCTGCTGCTGGTATTGTTGATAGCGCTTCATCTGGCGCCGTTGCTGCTGCTGCTGCTGCTGCTGCTGCTGCTGCTGCCCAAGAGCACCGCTATGGCCGCTGCGCGTGTTAGAGCGCGGCAGTGCAGCGGTTGCTGCATGCTGCAACCCCAGGCCACAACGGCATGCTAAGAGTGGGAGCGCTTGCTGCGATGTTTGGTGCACCGCATGTGCGATACACGCCGGTAACATTGATTGAGCAGTCGGCCGCTCTCGCAGATCGTGAACCGTTGCTCGTTGTGTCTGATCGCAAGTATGGGCGAAGGCTGGTTCATTGAGGTGTGAATCCGCGTGCTACGGTAAGCCCCGGTCATGCTCAAGAGGTCCCAACCGCATCCCTGTGCAAGGGATGGCACAAGTTGACTCATCAGTTTCTGGGTGACACCCCTGCCTGTTGACCGGAGTCGCATTGTGTGGTCTCTGGAGTCTCTGGTACTCGCCGTCGCGCTCAGGTGATTCTATGATATGAGTTCCGGTGGAACGGGTACGGGCAGGGATACCCCGCTCGCTTTGTGCACTCCGCTGCTTGCCGCACACTTGCTCCTTTGATCCCCGGTGAGACGGTGACGGCCGACTACAACTCCAAGGTAGTGAGGTATACTTTTATTTTATTTACTCTGGAGTTCAGGCGTGGAAGGCAAATATCGAATTGAGCAGGCAGCCTTTTATATGACACTGTTGTGTAGCCTAATGAGGGGCGCGGCGTGTGGCGGCTAGACTTGAGTGGAGAAGGTAGACCGGGCGCTGGGCACCCTGCAAGGTTTGCGGACGTGTGCATGGTCAGGGCAACCGCCCGTTCCCCCGCTACTCACCGGTTTAAAGGACCCGGGGGCCCCCCGCTGGGCGCAGAGGGCCCTCAAGTGACACCTTTAGGCTGCCCCCACGACTTGCGATTGTGATGAGCGGACAGAGTTGACGCCCGCGTGGCTGCTCGTGCAACATCATGGGGGTCTTATTTCGCCGCTGCCTCGTCCTTGCCATTGCGTGCGTGCCTTTCCGCCGACGATTCCACCCAGATCCCTCAAATGCCCGGCACGTGCGTGTGGCGGCTCAAGCCGATACAGGTACTCTCCTCACGTCCTCATTGCTTGCGGTATGTACCGATGCAATTGGTAGTCCACTTGTGTCATCTGTCCTGGATGTGCGCAACCTCTTGCTTTTGCCTGGAAGCGGTCTTCACGCGCACCGGCAGCAGCACGTGCCGACAAAATGGCACATCGCCCTTGAGCTGATCTCTGGGCCGGCCCGACAAGAGTCTCAGCCACATGCTCGTCTAGCTGTGCACGTGACGCACAATCAGCATGAGAATGGAACGCGGTATCAAAAAGACACCCTTCACAGCATAATCACAACAATTGCTGGGGTTCAGTTCTTGCGAGTGATCTTGCGGGCCCGGTCAACAGCCGCGGGCGCATTTGCAGAGTTCTATTGTTGCTGCACTAATTTGATTAGGTTCCATATTAGCACCCTCAATAGCCATGGCGCGCGTGTCAGGCCTCCTCCTTGTTCTTGCGTTGCTTGTGGGCCCGAGCTCCGCCTTCAAGGTCATTGAGGGCAGCGCGGGCGTCAGCAAGTATGCCACCAAGCTCAAGAAGAGTGGCATCAAGGACGTCATGTGAGCAAGGACTCAACAATCTCGTGCCCGCGTGCCCTTCGCGTAATCTTGGTGCCTGGGCCCGCACACCCTGGAGACGCTGGACGTCGTGCTCCGAGAGCCTGGCGCTGCTAGGGTCGCGACTGGCCGCCATGCCATTCGCCCAAAAATGGCTCACCGCGCGAACGCGGCGCTGCACTCGCGCACCATGTTCACATGCAGCCTGACCGCGCGGCCACAAGAGAGTCTCACTGAGGGCGAGCTGCCAAAGTCCTGGGACTGGTGAGTTTGTTGCCGCTCATCGCGCACCATGATATGGGTGCACACCCTCGCTTAATCGTGGGGCTCGTCCAAAAAAGGCTGAGGGAGTTCAGCGCAGAGCCGGCCCGCCCACTGCCCGCAACCCACGCCGAGTTGCCGCCAACCATCGCGCCCCAACCCCACATCCGCGGGCAGGCGCAACGTCGATGGCAAAAACTACCTCTCTCCCGTCCGCAACCAGCACATCCCGGTGGGTGTGGGCCGAATTTGCCCAGATATCCGCGCCCTCGCCTCCTCGCCCGCCCAAACGCTTTCGCCGGCTAGCGGAGGGGGCAGCGTCAACCGACGCGGGCCGCGCGCTCTTTGCATGTGGCCCTCCATCTCCTTGATCAACATGCCGCACCCCCCCCCGGACGTCGACCCCTCTTTGCCTCATCCCCCCCCCCCCAGGTCTACTGCGGCGGCTGCTGGGCGTTCGCCTCGACCTCTGCCCTGGCCGACCGCGCCAACATCGTCCGCGGCGGCGCGTTCCCGCTCGCAGTGCTGTCGGTGCAGAACGTGGTCGACTGCAGCAAGGGCGGCAATTGCATCGACGGCGGCGAGGACAAGGTGCGCGGGTTGCACGCCTGTGTCTGCATCGGCTGCTTGCGCCTGCATGCGTCTGCGTGCGCCCGCATGCGTGCGCGCACGCCTGTTTCTGCATCGACCTTGGCCCATCTCACCTGTTGATCGGCTGAGTCGGCTGAGGCTCCGACTGGTGCGCTGCTGGGCCGCGCCTTGCTACGTGTCACCGGCCATGCGCCCATCCAAACAAGTCGCCCGCTGCTCTTCCCCCGCTCCTCTCTCCCCTCGCAGCTGGTGTACGCGTACGCCTTCAGGCAGGGCATCCCCGCCGACACCTGCAACTCGTTCGTGGCGCACAACCAGGCCTGCAACCACAAGCACCAGTGCTGTGAGCCCGCCCGAATTCCAGCCCCCCTTGCTTGCATCGCGCTGCCCGAATCTTTGGGAGCATGCCAGGCCCGCATTGACGGTATGGGATTTCAAAGTTGCATTTGGCTGTTGCAACTTGCAAATGCGGCCAGCGTTCATGTTTTGAGAGGCGCGCTGCAGCGAATTGACGCGGCTGTGTGCTGCTGCTGCTGCTGCTGCCGCACCACCCCTGACAGACACCTGTGAGTCCAACGGGAAGTGCGCCCCGGTCTACGACTACAAGAGGCTGGTGAGTAGGCAGGACCCTGGCGTGGGATGCCATCAAGCGGGCGCGCGTGCAGGGAGCAGGCACGCCCGTCTACACAACAGGCGCGCGCGTCCATGCGCCCTGTGTACGGGGATCGCCTGCCTGGGCACCTGCGGCATGACCCAGCCCGGCCACTCCAAATTGCCTTTTCCCTTGAGCCGCCCCTGAAAAACGCCCTTCTCAGTCAACGCCAAAGCCTCGCACGGCCCGACCGCAGCATCTGGGCCAGGCCCGTCCTCTGTCTATGCAATCTGTCGCCCTAACGCGCCGCACCCCCGCCGCTCGTGTTGCCACCTGCTCCCGCCCCCCCTCAAGGTTGTGAGTGAGTACGGCAGCCTCCAGGGCCGCCTGGCCATGAAGGCCGAGATCTACAGGAGGGGGCCCATCTCGTGCGCCATCCAGTCCACCCGGGAGCTGGATGACTACAAGGGTGAGGGGCCTGGGCGCGGCGCGTGGCTCCCGCATGTCACGTTTTTTGGTCCCCGCGCCGTGGGGGCGATCGGCGTCCAAGGCGTGTTGTGTAGGCTTCCGGGGAGGGGCGTGGGGGGCGCGTGGGCGGCTCTGGAGAGGGGGAGAGGGGGGGTCCGGCAGGAGCAGGGCAGGGAAGCTTTGGTTGCTGCAGGCGGGCAGGGCGAACAGGACCAGCCGGCGGGGGAGTGTTCTGCCGGCCTGCAGCCTGCTCCACAGGGCGCGTCAGATGTGGTCGGCCGCGTCGTCAACCGACGCTCTGTGCCCTTGCACGTGACCGCAGGACACTCACCTTGTCGCCCCGCGCCCGCCCTGCCGCCCCTTTGATGCCCCCCCCTTCTCCCCCAAAAAACAGGCGGCGTGTTTGCCCAGAAGCTGCAGAAGATCGAGCTGAACCACGTAGTCAGCGTCGTGGGCTGGGACAAGGTCGACGGGGAAGAGGTCTGGATAGTGCGCAACAGCTGGTGCGCGGGGCGCGTTTGTGTCCTGTCGCGCGAGAGTTGGCGTGCACGCGCGCGCGTGATCTGTTGACTGGCAGGGTCCTTGCTTCAAGCCACGTGTGCGTATTCATATGGTGCTGCCTGCCAGGATTCCATTTCCAGCCAAAGCCGCGCCCTAGGGCGGGTGGGTGGAACGGGGGCAGCAGGGTTCGAGTGGCCGCAGCGCCGCTCGCTTGGAATCCCCTGGCGGTATTAGCCTCCCATAGCACGGTGCAGCCGCGCAGGCGCGGTTTTTCCGCCCCTGCCCGTCCTCCCTCTGCTGCCTTTCCCCTCCCCGCCGGAACCTGGCGCCCCGCCCATCCCTGCGCTCACCCCTTCCTCCACTGGCCTTCCAGGGGCGAGCCCTGGGGCGAGGGCGGCTTCTACCGCACCCCCACCTCCGGCTTCGACGGCGGCAACGGCGCCAACATGAACCTGGGCATCGAGCTGGACTGCGCCTTTGGCGCCGTCGACCGCTGGGCCAACGCCCGTGACCTAGGCTTCCCTGCCAGCGCTGACGAGGACGACGAGATAGCGCCCTCCAGGCGCGCCACCCCCGAAGCTGCCGCTGCTGCTACGCGCGTCGCTGCGTCGTAGGCGGCGCGCCCGCGCCCGCGACCTGCGCGCGGCGGGAGGCCGGCCGGCCTGGGAGCTTGCTCTGGCGCGCAGCGGGGTGCGCCGCGGTTGGCGGCTGACGGACCCGCTGTGTTCCAACGGGTGTTGCACATTCATCATGCATCAAGTTGCTTATCAACCGATGGCCGTGCTAGCACGCGCCCTCTTAGCACGGCTGCCCCTTACATTGCATCAGAGCGCGGCGGCGCTGACGTTTGGGAGGTGCCTCGACTGTCCCGTTCCGGCGGCGGCGAGGGGCTGCCCTCTTGGTTGCTCGCCACTGCACGTTGCACACCTCCAGGCCGCGCCACGCATAAGAGCAGCGGGCCGGCAATTTGGCAGCCTCTGTGCGCCCCAGATCGCACATGCGGCGAGACCCCTTGCAATTCAACAACCCGAAGAGCCAAAAGCACTGCCCTGAGGCGGGCGCCCTGGCTGCCGCAGCGCCTGCGCCGTGCGCCCGCACCCGATTCTTATTATTCTTCTGTACCCTCGTCGCCCGCCCTGCGCTTGCATCCGCGCGCCGGCCTGTCTGCGCACCACTTGTCGCCACGAGCCTGTCATGCAGGCTGCGCATGCGCGCGCGCGCGCGCGCGCGCTCAAACCAGTCTTTGGGCTGAGAGAGAACGCAATTCAGCAGGGCTGGCGGTTCGCCGCCAGCCCGCACGCGCTGACAAGCTTGCGGGTGGCCGGGAGAGATCGGGGCGCCTCGGCGCGCGTGTGCGACCCGGCGTTGCGGGCGCATGCGCCGCGAAGGGTGCCCTCCCCTCTGCCCCCCGCCGAGCTTCAGTTGTACCACTACCCGCGGCGCTGAGCACGGCTAGCGTGCTCCGGCTAACGCGGGCTGCCTTGTATGCTGCTTGCCCCTGCTGAGTCGATCAAACCCTCAACCCCGTTCGTGCGTGCCGCATCTCGAGGCGCAGCCCCCCGCGCGACTGTACCCCTCACTGCGGCGCAGTGGGCTCGCTGCCTCGCGAGCGATGTAACATTACGGGTCCCATCTCACCCGCAGCCGCCTGAGGGTGCTTCAGAGGCGTCGACGCCGGCAGGCAGCCACGCAAGGTCAGGGTTGGGCGCCGCCTGACCCAGCCCTGACAGCTGCGTCCCTGTTGGGGCCCTCTAAAGCGCTTCGGCCGACCTGTGACTGCCGGCTGCACCCCCAACCCCAGCTCGCCTTGACACTCTGCTCGCTTCGGCCGCTGGCATCGCGGCCAACGTCCGCTGTCTGATTCATTGCACGTCTCTGCAAAGAATGACAGAGGCGGAAGCGCCGAACGCGCTGCCCCCCGGAAAATGTGTGTGCAGAGCGAAACGCACGGTCAAAGGGCGCAGTGCGGGGCGCCGCTTGCTCATCTGAACGCGTTGCAATGCCCGCTTCAGCAGCTGCTACCAAAACGCCCGCAGTCTCTACACTGACAACGAGGCATACAAACACAAACACACACACACACACACACACACACAAAAAAACACATCAACAAGCGCATCACAAACCCAGCAACCGACAACGCCTTGACATGTCTGCGGCGGCAAGCAGCGCAGAGGGGCCCGTCATCAGCGGAAAAGCAACACCCCAGCATGCACACAACTAAGCCGATCTTGGCGAAAGAAAGAGGTTGAATCAATCAGCCAGCAGAAACGACGGATAGGGTGGGTAAGGCATGCAGCTCTTGCGCAGGTGAGGGCGGCGCAACAGGCCGGGCACGTGGCCCCTCTTGAAAGCCTGTTGCCAAGTCTTTAGGGGAGGAAGTCAAGGGCGCTACCCTCGGTCTACACACCTAACCAGGCACCAAAACAAATTGCACTGCTAGATTGCTGCAGCCTAGAATGCTTGTGCGCTGAGTGCGCAAAGGCAGGCCTGTTGCCCTGTGCCCCAGCGAGCCCAGGCAGCCCTCAGCGCGGAAACCGGCCTGGCGTGGCGCCAAAACCCGGCAGGCCGCGTCTGCAGCAGCCGGGCAGGCTGCGCCGCCGTCACTTCGCCCTGCAAAGAGCGCCGCACAGCCCGCCGGCGGCGCTGGTGAGCGCCCGCTCAGCCTGCCAACCCCTCGAGGCGCTGGCGCCTGCGCACCGCCGCACAGCAGCACTGCTTGCGGGGCGCACGAGGCGCCTGCCATTACTGGACGCGGCGGCGCCCCTGCCCCTCACCAGCGCGCCGGGCCGCCCCCGCACGAGCGGCGCCGACCTCCGCGGTCGGGGCAGCAGGATTGAGGCGAGCCCAGCAAACGAGGCCGGCGATTACAAGGGCGCGTTGATTGCGTGCTTGACGGTCTCGTACACCTGTTGGTGAAATCGGGGTAGGATGAGAAATCCGAGGTTATCAGTCACCGCAGGGACACCCGATGGGGGCGCGATGGGGCGGGGCAGGCCGGGCTGCAGTTGACCCCACGGCGCACTGCCCACAGAGGAGGCTCGCCCGCGCCCCCGCATGTGCACCGCGGCGCGCTCCCCAGGCCATGTTGAGAGGTGCGCCTGGGCTCGGGGCAGCGTCCCCGATCATGGACAGGTTCAAGGTCGGCCCGATCATGCCCTGCCGCCGCGGCTCGCTCACCCAGTAGCTGAGCGCCGCGCTCGGCAGGACCTGCAGCAAGCTGGGCCGCAGCCCAGCGTAGAACCCGCCCGCGCCGCCCTCCC